CAGGGTTGGCAGGACGCAGCTCTAAGCCACCTCCATGGGCTACATGGTCACCGGCACAGCTGATTGCAATTAATGCTCCTGGCACGTGCCACTTTCTTCCACTTCCATGACGGATGGGTTCCTCCTGCCCTCCCTGTTCCTAGCACAAGACACAGCATCAAACAGGTTATCTATAAAACCACTAGCACCCCAGTATCTATCCAAGCAAACTCCTGCTTCTTGGCTGACAACCTCTCTTACCTCCGCGCAGCAGAGGACACTCGTGTGGCAAAGCACAAACAAAGGGGGCTGCAAGTAGCAGGTGCTTCAAAGACCCCAACGGAGTGGATCACTACTCAACATCTACTCATCCACTTCACTGTGACAAATCCTAATACGCTCCAGCTTTGCTTCCTGAAGATCCAGAGTCCTCTGCTACAGGTGGAAAATGCCAGACGGGCAATGCTGGAGTAGAAGCGATCACACCGGGTTCAGCGATCTGCCAGGCGCAGACTAAGGACGCTAACGAGGGCACACACACTTTGAGTTGCCCACGTTCTTAACTAAACAGACTCCTCTGCTCAGAAACTGGATGAAGATCATCCTCCTTCACTTAAACCAACAAACGCTCAAGAGAGCAGAAGTGATTTCATCTAACACCTGCATGGGCTCCACTGCAAACAGCGAAATTAGAGGCAAGAAGCACTATTCCTGACCCTAAATAAACTCTGTTACTGTATGTTATCCCTGTCCAAAACAGCCATGGTCATCTTCTTTTTTCCTCAGTTACCCTTAGATTCTTAACAGTCCACCACAGCTCTGTTCTCATCTACAGATTTAGAGAAGTTCAGTGAGGAGAATCCCATGCAAAGGCAATTCCAGGATGCTGTATGATCAACCTGGGTTCCCATGTTGTCCCAGTCACCACGTGTGTGGACCACTGGAGGCCAAGAAAGAACCAAAAACAGTAAGAGAAAGAAACCACATTGCTAATGTCTTCATTTCTTGCAGCTTCTCATGTGGTATCAGGTCACCATAGGCAAAAGGCTGTAAAGTCACTATTTCACGTTGGGCATCCCAAGGAATAGTCAGGAAGCTGAAGACAGCTATTCCAAGGCTCAGGCCAACGTGTCCAGAGAGGCTTCTGTCTGGAAACAGCAAAAATGGGACAACTATGTCCAACACCGCTGTGAGAAAAAGTCAAGAAAACTGCTTAGACTGGGACAAGAACACAATATTTTATGTGTTTATAAAATTAAACTCAAGTGCTTTCTACATTTTAACGGGATCCACCATGTTTCTATTATTGGCACAGAATTCCCCTAAAGCAGCAGGGAGAAGTTACTAAAAATGGCAAAAGACAGAATATCCTCCTTTTTTTTTTTTTTATTCCAAAAGCAAACATACAGAACAAACAAACCCTACTAATTAAACTCTGTGTTGCTTCGACAGACCGCACATGGCATTCTTCCCACAGCCCAGCAGTTAAGAGGTCTTTCCATTACCAAAGCAAGCAAGCTGGCAACAACTGAAACCAGACCAGAATTCCAGCCGTGCGTTGGTGCAAGGACATCAGCAAAGGTCCTGCAGGTGCTGCCTCGGAGCAGGGCAGCTTTGAAGAGCGCTGCGAAGGGACCACCGTTCGCTCCCGACACCTGAAACCATCTCCAGCTTCGACATACGAGCTGTCTGATTCCTCTTTTTTTAAGGACTTTCATCTCCGGCACAGTACGAGCCCGAAACCAAAGCCGACTAGCCAGGAGGGCTAAACTAACCGCCACTGCCACCGGGCAACACAGCAGCTGTCACGGAGCAGCCCTCTTCTCTCCATCCATCATGCAGAGGGGTAACGAGATTTGTACCGAGGCGTTGCCTTTGAAGAGCACAAAGCAGCAGCTCCCAGGGGTATCTCCCTCTAACAACTGGGGAATGATATTTAAGCAAGAAATATCAGTCTGCTGTAAAAAATTTATCACAAGCAGATGACAGTGCCTGTAGGAGCTGCGGCGGCGCTACCCTCCCTTTCCTCCACTGCTGCAGAATGACACTTTTCATCCCAAATTTCAGCTGCTGGGGGATCCTGACCACTGCCTCAGCCTCACCTTGGAGCAACAAAAAGAAACCTGCGTGGCTTTGGTCTGAATCTAGATCAGACAAGCTGCAAGGCTGATCCACCTGTTAACACCCCTTCATCTGCAGGTTAACATGTGCCCATTAGCAGAGGGATCCTGGTGTGGCTCGGTTACAGCTGCACTGATTGGTGTGCAGTCACCTATCTGTATAAAATCAAAGTGGTTTAGGCTGCCAGGCAGACTGTGTTTAAGTGTAGATGTTCCTAAACTGGGCTACAAACCTGTATTTAATGGATTTCTGAACTGGTACCGTTCAGAGGTGCGGACTCTGCTGGGTCAGAGGGGGAAATCCCACTCCTTGTCCCTGTCCCCTCCTGGATCGAGCAGCTCCAGGGGAAGGGGGTGCCACACATCAGTCAAAAGAAAACAGGGTAGCTCAAACCAGTTTCAACAGCAAACCTCTCGACAGAAATGGGTCTCCTGGGGACCTGGGATGAGGACGGTTATTTCTGCGGGCTGTGGTCGGCAGCTGGGGCAGCCACCTTCAGCTGGCACGGCCCCGTCAGCAGCGCCAGTGCAACCACTCCAATAGGAAATTAAAAGTACTGCACGATATAAATTCACTTTCTACCTCCCTCTGCTGCAAACCCTCTCTGTAAGAAGTCCAACGGGAGCGTATGGCCTCGGCACTCCCAAAGGAGATTTCCCATCGGGGACACTTCACTGTGGCCAAGCTCACACACATGGTCTTCACACTTTCAGTCCACCCACGCACATCTGGGTACCCCTCTGGAGAGGGTCCTCGATGGCTCAGATTCCAGGTTCAGACACGCTGACAGCCGCACTTGCAATCAGATGGAGCGCTCTATTTCACTATGCCCTGTACTCTTCTTTTTTCCCCTCGAGTAGACAATATCCCCATCACCATCCCCATTAGGACCTGCCCTTTGTTTTGAGTTTTCTGCACATTAGAGAGTCTGAGCCTGCTAAGCAATGCCAGACCCTCACAAACGACCAACTGCCACCTGCCTGGCCCCAGGAGATGAACACAACAACATTCTTAGGCCAGGAGCTCCTGCAGAGGAACCCACAGACCACATCAGCACACCACCACGGTACTGCTGGGCACTGACATGGAAAATGACACTTTACAGCAACACCTGTGTGCACACAGAAGGAGAGCAGCTTACCAGTCCTGGGATCAGATATTTAGGGGCAATGCTGCTTAAAGGTACGGTTTGAGGAATATTGGTAGAAACACCAAGAAAAGCAGAGCGCCTCCTGCTCCAACCTCCCCCTTCCCACTCAGGCTTTGTCTCCTCCCCGTTAAACTGGTACTTTATGTTTTGGGCTCACACTGTGAATCAGGATGAGATACTAATTTCATGGATTTTTGCACTATTTCTTCTGACAGTTCAGTCCTCCTGACCCAGTCCTCTGCACAGCATAAAAAAACACCACCAGAGACACACACCTCAAACTACAGCACAGAACCATAACTTGGGATTCCCAGTTCAGCCATCTGCTCCTCCTATCTCAAGAGATAACCAGGGGATGCTTTCACTACCTTTATCACCCTTTATCCCTTCCAGACACCCCTTAGTGATGTTAAGCTCAGAAACAGGAGCTCTCAAGCAGGAGGGGCCTTCCCCAAGCACAGGATACACACACACACACATACACTTGCCTTTCTGTCACCTGGCCCTGGAAACTTTTGGGTTCTTAGCAGGGTTATAAAAGGATTAGAAAGGAAGGAAGGATTCTTCAAAAAGGTGCAAGGCTTGTGTTATTGCACTATTCAGAAGGAGAGCAGAAATGATGCTGCCAACAACTCTTCTGAGGTCTCTGTTCAAAAGCCACCTTAACATGCGACAACATCAATTAAAATTGTCACCTGTTTCAGATTCAGCTTCGATCCCAATTCAGGAAGCAACTCCTAAACAGAGAAAAAGCTGGTTAAATTTGTGAAAAAAAAAAAAAAAAAAAAATTTCTTCCTTTCAAAGACCAACCCAGATGTACAGGAAAAGGCTACCGAGGTCCTCTGACAGCTACTGCATTACAGAAAATAATTTTTTGGCCCCAGTGGGTTTCTGCAGGAGCTGGGGGGAACAAACATCTCCACTTTTCAGGCAACAAAATACATTCCTCCCCTCCTTCTCTCAGGTCTGCACTAGCAGTCTACCAAGAAAACAACAATGCTCTGAAAAATACTAGCAAAGAAAACTACTGTGTCCTGTAACAGTGATTCAACTCCTGGGTGATTTCCACCAGTTAATTTCCTGGAATATAGCACCTGCTATCATGGTGTTTTTGAAGGGGAAAACGTGTGAACATAGAGGCCAGTGCATGAAAAGTTACTGCAATGCTGTGCTGACGAGCCTCTTACGAGCAGCTCAACAAAGAAACAATCAGGACAGAAAAAGGACAACTAGCAAGGACTCTGCTAGTCAAAAGAAAATAGCACATCAATTCAAAAGACAATGGGGAAAAATTAGGTAGTAATTATCAGGAAGGCTGAACAAAACAGATGTTTTATTGTCTTGCAGAAATGAAATCAAATCTTGGGTCCACTTTCAGACGCAGAGGCTTGGAGAACATGGGAACGGCCTCTTCTTACCACCCTTCTTGTGAATTCTGTTCCTCTCCCCGGTTCAAGCCCAAGGGAAACGGCCACCGGTGCTGAGGACAGGCTACTCACTTTCTAGAGTGGCCCAACAACCGCGGGCTTTGGCTTCTGAAGTCGCTGTGACTGTGAGAGCAAAGAGCGACCAACAGCACCGTCACAGCGCCCCGCGGGCTTCGCAACCGCTGCACGCCGCGTTCTAGAGACAAACCTTGGAGCCCAAGGGGCTGCGGAAAAACATCCTTTTGATGCATCATAAAATATGAACGAGGACAACGCTCCCTCCTAACCCAGCAGTCGTCTTTTAGAAGGGAATCGCCTCTTTCAATTGCTCGGCCCCAAGGGATCTCTCCCTGTCAAATTCCACAAGGGTCTGGGGGTTTGCCCACCCTCAGCTCAGCGCACACAGGCTGCTGGAGGAAAGGTGCGAGGCAGTGTCGGTTGCAAAGCCTTGTCTGGGTAAGAGACAGCCTGACGTGAGATTTTCACCAGGCTGCATGGACTGCATCTGGGCTTCCCTGCTTGGTAGCCAGAAAACACGGCAGGGGTGCGGGAGAATTCAAATGCAATCAGGGGAAGGCAGAGGGGAAGTCAGTGGTTTGGGAGAATGGTTGGGAAATCATGGCAGGTGTGGTTTCTGCCCTACTGTTGAGGCTGGGTGCCCGTGAGGTCTGTAATCTTGATGTGCTCTTTGGACTCCCACCTGCTTCCGGAGGCACAGGTGGTGCTGTGGCCAAGGGCACCGTTCCCCATCTGTGCCTGGCTAGGTGCCACCCATCTCTATTTTTTTTTTTCCCCCTCTCTCCCCCTGCTCCAGACCACAGCGATTCACAGCTTTGAGACCTTCACATCATATTACTGCTGTGCTGCAACACGTGGGTGACATCTGAGTATCGCTTGGTCCGTAACACGCTGGTGGCTAACAGCAATCCATCGCACCAACCTTTACAGAGCTGCAGCAGCTTCCCCTTTACCTCCGGGTGCCACTCACCTCGCCAAGCAGGGCCCACAACCCTCTCCTGGACCTAGGTGCAGGGTACCTAAAGGCCAGTCTCTCTCCATCATTAGCACAGCACAATGAGAGGATCTAGCTCATTAGAGCTAAACATAAAGCATCACAGGGCTGGAGACCTAGTGCTCATAGCAGAGATCTGCCTGTTCCAGTATCTATTCCCTACCTTTGGCAAAAGAACCAAAAAAATAACCGAAAGAACCAAACTTGGCCAATGACGAAGAAAGGCACGTTTCTTTTCACCCCACTCTAACACAAACGCACCAGATGACTTCACATCTTTTGCCTCCTAAAAAAAAAAGGCAGAGCTCTGTTTTATTAAGTGATGGTAAATACACCCCTAAGGATTCTAGAATGAAGATTTCTGAACAAGTTGCATTACTGCAGGCAACATACAGAGAGAGAGAAAACATCATCTGGTTTACTACTATAATGACACAGCAGTGCAATCAAGTTGCCTAACATATCAGCTCCTTGACAGCTTCCAAGCTTAGGAGAAGCCTCAAGTTAACATGCTATGCTTAATTTCCTTTGGGTCGAACCTATAAGAAATCTAATTTGTTTCACAAGCAGCTCTGGATTTCGGCAGACGGCTGATGTGCAATACAGCCAAGAGAGAAAGGCCATTTAGTGTCTCCTATAGATCTGCTGGAGAAGGTAATTGAGCAATTACGTATTTAGAAACACACTTGGGAAGAGAGCTGATGGTGGCCATGTGGCTCTATTTTAACACCTTTGTTTCTTTGTAGGAAAACAAAACAAAAATCAATCCAGTCAGCAGAACACCTCCAAACTACGTGTGCTCCCGTGCAGGTAACCCTCTAACGCAAAGAAAGCCAAGAGCAATTGCAGCAGCACTGACTGCTGGGCATATACGTTACCAGGCTGGGGGTGGGTTTAGGCATTGTCTTCCGTGCTCTGTGGACCTTGACTTCAGTGTTAGCAGCGGTGGCTTTTTTAGCATCCATGTCCTTACTGCCCTCCCCGAGCTTGGCCGGCATCGTGGCTTGCATCTGAGAAAAGGAGCCCATAGTTCTCCCTTTGCTTGCTCCTCCTGGAAGGGTTTTTGCAGCATGGCCGGTGAGAGAAGCAAAGGTGCTGGTAGTCCTTAGAGGTTGCTCCTGTGCCATCTGCTTGGTTAGGATATAACCATTGCTCCCCGTTACAGAAGTCTGTGTGAAGTCATTAGCTTTCATATGGTTTTGCTTCCCAGTCTCGCCATCTCGTTCAGAAATGCCGTTTTCCGCTATCCTATTTAATTTAGTACTAGAGTCCTGCTGGCTCACTTTCGTATTGTCCTGAGTGTTTTTAGCTGGGTTTGGGTGGCTACCAGCTTCGCTGTGCTCACAGGAACCATTGGTTTCACCGTCTACTGCCATTTTTGGTTCCCCCGCTTGCTTTTCTGTAGCACTTTCATCTGCAGCCATGGCATTAAACCCTGGAGAAAGAGGGAGGAGAAGGAGGAAGAGAGGAGAAAGAAAAGGGTCATGAGCGGTATCAAAACTCCGAAGAGAAGGTACAGCTACTTCCAGTGGCTAACAAAGAGCAAACCTCTCCCCAGAAAACTGCCTGCTACATACATCCATGTAGGTTGCTCACTCACCTACCTGACCAGCTCGCCTGGATCCTCAGATGGTGAAAACCAGGGTGGCTCGGATGAAAGCAGCGCACTCATTCCCACTTGCCTCAGCTGCGGATGTGGCCATTTATTCCCAACTATGGATTTTTCAAGGTAAATATTATCTTTAGCTTCTCCAATAACTACATTTATTGGACCATATGTCAACACCTTGCATGTCAAACAAAACGCTCCCCAGTCTTGCATTCAGATCTCTGGCAAAGCCCTTCATGATGCCAGACTGACACAAGAAAAGCTTGCTGGTAGGGCTGTATGGGTGAGCTTTTGTGGCACAGACACAGCTCAGCAGCCAAAGATCTACAACGGGGCTCCGCTGGCACACCAAACATTGCAAGCAGTAACTCCCTGGCAATCACAGCTCTCCTGGCAATCCTGGCCAGCAGAGACCGGCTCATTTGCTGGGATGAAGCAGCACAGGAGCAGGACTCACGGTGTCATTTCAGAGGCAACAGTCGGAGTAAACACAGGGGTGAGGTGTGTTGTAGGCAATTCTAGACTAAAATAATTACATGAGTCAAACGCAGCAAGACTTTTGCAGACTGATTAAAAAGCTCACCCACAGATAAAACAGGAGTGTCCATGTAGAAAATTTTTTTTTCCTCCTTTCCAAACATTTCCATGCTCAACCCATCAATGAATTTGTCCCATCAGAGATTTCAGACCCGAAAAAAATCCAAGCATGAAGGCCATGTACCTGCAGAAAGGTTTCCAACAGGACAAACCAGCAGCTCCCCAGGCAAACAGGAGTGATAACAATTCACTGGCACGTTCAGTAAAACGACTGAATCAACCTGCTGTTAGGGATTCCTTGTACTGTCTTCCTTCCAGAGGCCAGACAGTTATGAAAAGCATCACAAGAAGTACCAGGGAAAGCTTTGTCCAAGTGGGCTGTCAAAGCAGGCAGGACTGATTTACAACCAGCTCGAATCAAAGCACTTTTTGCCTACAGTACGCAGAAGGGCCCAGAATCAAACTGGAGAACAACTTCACAAGCCAGACCAGCACGCTGGGTATCAGCATCTCTCTTCATGCTGCTCTTGAAGTCCAAACACTCAAGGAAAACAACATTGTGAATGTCTCTGCTGACCTGGCAAAAACCTGATGCAAGGCTATGGCATGGAAGAGGAACCGAGATCCTGCATCCCAAGATGTCAAGTCCAACATACCTGGGCTAACGGTTCAAAGCTGAGCTCTGCAGGGCTTTGCTGCGTGCCCCTGAGCACTCGCAGCTCAGTGCCAACACCAGCAGGGCTGGATGAGTCCGGAGGAGCAGCGCTGCACAGCTTACCAAAACTGCTTTTCCCAGAAAGCACCGAATTCCCTTTCCAGTTTGTGGCAACTGGGGAAAAAAAATTTCCCCCCATTTCAGGGCCTGCTCATCCCCTTCTTTCCTCCCCCTTTTTAATGCATTCATTCAGTTTATCTCCTTACCTAGTGTTGACCTAAAAGACCTATTTTGATGCAGATTTCGGTACAAACAGCACTTGTAGATCTAGTCTCTAAACTCAATGCATTCTACTACCTGCAATAACCATGATGCTCCCCAAAATTCCTGGTTTTTGGTGTTCATCTGAGATTTAAAGACAAACATTTCCTGCATCAAACTGAAAGTCCTCTTGGAATACACTTAGAACATCCAATCCAAACTCCAGCTTGAAGCATGGTCAACGCTGAATTTAAACCAGGTTACTCAGGGCTCTGCCCAGATGAGTCTCAAAGACCCTTTGCAGTGCTTGACTTGCTCCAGTCTGGTTCTAACCATAAACTAGAGGAGGACAGTCCTAGTCCTACCCCATGTTTCTAAACGAAAGGCACAGATGTTGGGCACTAAGTATGTTACTGGAAAATGTCTTCAAAACCTGATGACGAGAGGTAACTCTTCCCTGGGGTCCAACTTTGGCCATTCTCCCTGATGATACACCTGCACTAAGCGGTCTCTTCCCCTCAAACCCAGGTGGCTCAGCCTGAAATTACCTCCCACATGGGCTCTGCCAGCTCAGAGACTCCAAGACAAGCTCCAAAACCTCCAAAGAGAGCTCACCAGTGCTTGCTGGAGCACACGCAGGAGGGCAGAGGCAGAAACCCCACTCCAGTGGGCAGTAATTCAGTGCCTCTCCAAGCACAACTCAAAGTCATCACCTCCATCTGCTGCCCTCTCACGCCACCCAGACCGCCTTCTGAGTACTGAAAACTGATAAGACATATGAGGGTTTGTTCTCGACAGCAACGACTCTGGCAGAAGATACAGTGCTATTTTTTTCACTGTTACTTAACTATTTGAAAAGTCTTGGGCGGAGGGAGCCAACTGTTATGCCCTTATTCTATCAATCCTTGTTTCTCTTTCTGCATTTGGTGTCTTTAAAAGACCATGCTGTGGCCATTTAAACAATTATTTCAGCAAAGCCAGTGCCAGAAGAAAACAAAAAATGAGCTCCCTAACCGCAGCACTAGGCACCTGGCTGAATGAAGCCTTCAATGTTTGTTGATTTAAATACTGTGCATTCCCACCAGAGCACTCAAGTAACTTCAGAGGCTGACTGTTAGATAAACTGAATAAGCAGAGGGCAAGAATTGCTCTACCTGCCATGAAGGCAACCAAAACAAGGTAAATTAGAGCACTGCCCTAGGGGAAATAATAACTGCGTGACTCCAGAAAGCGTCACGGACTTTATGAAAAATCCATGAAGCTACAATTAAAATCCCACATAGAGTTCCCCCACACACGCACACTCTTACTAAGTGTGCAAAATGCAATCTGATTGACTGCGGAAGTGCCATCAATCCCCTATGAACAGGCACCAAACTTCCAAATCTGTATGACTCGAGATTTGACAAAACAAAGATATGAAATTCCATAGTCCCTGAAGTCGCACAGAACTGGAGAACTTAACAGCAGTCATCAGGGGTATGGTTCTGATTTAAGAGGATTACGCACGCGCTCTGCCCCGCCGTAAATGAGTGCTCACGTTGCAGGGCAAAGCAAGGTCCTGGGGCTCCCAGCTGCAGCCCCGAACATCAGTGCTGCCACTGCGCAGCAGTCTGAGTGAAATGAGTTGTAGGGTGTCACAATCTGGTGCCTGTCGGACAGGCATCCACACGACAAAAGCTGTTGTGGCAACTGCCATTCCCACTGCTTGCTGGCTGGCAAGAGTCAGCAGAGGCCAAGGACTGAATGGGAACAGAGACTATGACCTTCTCCAGCCTCCAAGTATGAGACATCACAGGCAGGACTGTCCTGAGCTGCTGCTTTCTTTGTTGAAAGATCATAGAATCACAGAATGGTTTGGGTTGGAAGGGACCTTAAAGATCAACTAGTTCCAACCCCCCTGCCATGGGCAGGGAAATCCTCCACTACACCAGGTTGCCCAAAGCCTCATCCAACCTGGCCTTGAACACTTCCAGAGATGGGGCAGCCACAACTTCTCTGGGCAACCTGTTCCAGTGCCTCACCACCCTCAATGTAAAAAATTTCTTCCTTACATCTAACCTAAATCTCCCCTCTTTCAGTTCAAAGCCATTGCCCCTTGTCCTGTCACTACACGCCCTTGTCCAAAGCCCCTCTCCAGCTTTCCTGTAGCCCCTTTAGGTACTGGAAGGTCTCCTCGGAGCCTTCTCTTCTCCAGGCTGAAGAGCCCCAACTCTCTCAGCCTGTCTCCATAGCAGAGGTGCTCCAGCCCTTGGATCATCTTCGTGGCCCTCCTCTGGACCTCATCTCCATCCTCCTGCTCTCTTTTCTGGCAGCACTAAACCAAATTCATAAACAGTTTGGAACAGCATTGTTTTCTGCAAATTAAGTTCCTGTACAGCACAGGACTCCTGAGAGAGGCACCACAGCCAACCCCACCGACTGTAGGAGCTCGTCACCCCGGGGTCCTACCTGACCACCAGATTGAAGAGACCTCCACGAAGAACTAGTTTACATCAGGAGCCACACTGCTTAATAAGCCGTGGTAACCCAAGTAAGCTAGTCTGGTTTTCACAACCAAAATACCTGGTCTGGTATCAGGAATTTAGGAGTTGCCACCCCAGGCTCGGCTACCGCTCCACTTGCCACGATGTTCTGCCTCTAACTCAGTGCTCCATCGTAACAGGACACGTCTGCAAGTCTGACCACATTCAACAAGTCTTAGGTAAGGGCACGTTGACAAGCATTGCTAAATAGACACAACTCAATAGATATTTACATTTTTCCTGAAATACGGCCTAAAGATGGGGATGGGAACACAAACTAGAGACAGCAGGAACCTCACAATGGAGAAATACTGAATAAAACAGCCTACAGAAGCTCTTCAACAGCACCAGACAGCTAAAGAAACGCTTGTTCCTGACATGGCCTTTTCATCTCCCCTATTTCATTACTAAAAAAAATAAATTTCACAGCAAACCTGCTAAAAATCTTCATTTCAAATACACCTCGTGGCAACGAGTTCTCTTCTTGAAAATGCTGTTCAGCAGCTTTTCTGCTCTTGTGCTGCAAGTGCAAGCGAATAAAACCCTAAAATTGGTATTTCTCTAAAACTTTACAACTTGACAGTATTCATTCCTTCTAAATGGAGCAAAATTACATTTTCCTCTGTATTCACTTTTCTCTCCAAGTCCCTCATTGTTCCTTAATCTACAACCATTCTTTCTTTAATTAAAAAAAAAAATGGAAGGTAGATATAGCCTAGGTCCACAGAAGTATAACCTCATTTTCTTGAAGCATCCTGGTATTTTCAGAGCTGCCTTATGCGTTTCCTACGGCATATGCAGCACCAGTAAAAGCTGGTGCATCCCACAACGCTGCCTGCATCCCGATC